CACAGCAGTTACTAAGGAGAAAATGATCCAAAGTGGTTTTTTTCTACATTCCCAAATCAGAAAATTCAAAAGTTGAAATTTTGGGGCTAGAGAAACGGCTCATGTGGGTACACAGGCTTGCTGTGCAGGCATGAGGAACTGAATGTGGATCTCAGCACCCATATAAAAAGCAGGACTTGGTTGCAAGCACCTAGAATCTCAGAGCTATAGAGGATGGAGACCGAAGGATTGCTAAGGCTTGCTGGTCACAAGTTTAGCTCCAGCTTCAGTGGAAGACTTTGTCTCAAGGGACTAAAGTGACAGACAGCAAGACATTTAATATTTTTCCCTGGCTTCTATGCACATTCATACTCCTGTGTTCATCTACACACATGTATACACGTAACACATGCACACACATGTACATGCACAAAAGTCAAATTTGATATAAGGTCTTTAAAAAATCATTAAGGTTAAATGAGGTCATTGGGAATGACCCTCATCAGTACGACTAGCAAGAAAATGCCAGGTAAGATAGTGGAGAAGAACCCTGAAACTCAAGGAAAGTAAACAGCGAAGACAATATACAGTGAGCTGTTTGCAAGAGACAAGGTCTGTAAGCAAACCCAGTAAGCCAGGAGAGATTTCTATAGGGAAGCAGGCAAGAAAGCAAGGCTCACAGCCCAGCTGGAAGCCCCTTTCCAACTAGCAAAACTTCAGTTAGAGTGGTAAGTACTTAAGATACAAGGTAAGTACTGTTCCTCACATTCAGAGATCTACAGGACCACAGGAGGCTAGAACAGACTCTATGGGTCCACGAGAACCACCAGGAAAGGTCCTAAGGCTTCCCTTCCCCCACATGTTCCCCCAAGGAAGATGGAGCCCTCACAGACCAGTGGTTCTCACTGGCCCCTCCGCTCATCCAGCCGTAACTACTACATGGAAACTGCTATCGTTGAAGGGATTTGAGAATTTCACAGTCTAACTCAACACGGCTGCACCAGCAGTCAACCCAGAAGTATCCTTTTTCTTTATTTCCTATTATTTCGTTTCCACTCTTGCATGTGTGCTGTGTGATGGTTTAGTGTTTGTATAGAGCTCGGTGAGGTTTCAAGGATGCTGTGAATGTTTCTCAACCCAGCTTAGAGTACCTGTAATACCTCTGCCTTTTCCTCTCTATGTAATCTTTACCCCTTCCTCTTTTTATTTCCCCTCTTCCTTTATTCTTCTTCTTCTTTTTTTTTTTTTTTTAACTCAGTAGGGTCCACCAGTCTTTGTCTCCCAAGTGTTGGGATTAAAGGTGTGTGCCACCATGCCTGGCTTACTTCTTTTTAAAACAAATTTTGTGTAAAATTATGTGTATGTTCATGGGAGTGGAGGGGTGTGTGTGTGTGTGTGTGTGTGTGTGTGTGTGTAGGTAGGTACTCTGGGAGGCCAAAGGTATAGGATCTCCTTGAAGGTGGATTTATAGGCAGTTACAAGCCATTCAACATGGGTATTGAGAACCAAATTCAGACTGTATGCTGAAGGAGAAGAAAAGCCAACAGAGTCAGGCTAACTTTAGATTGCTTTCCAAATCATTGTATTACAGAAACGTAAACCACATCCCTGCAATATCTGCTGTCTGGTTGTCAGCAGGCCTGGCTTCCACACCTTCAGAGGACAGCCCAAACAGGAGCGTTCGTGAGCTTAAAGGGCTTTGGCTGGGCTGTAGAGATGGTTCAGAGGTTAAGAGCACTGGCTGCTCTTCCAGAGGTCCTGAGTTCAATTCCCAGCAACCACATGGTGGCTCACAACCATCTGTAATGAGATCTAGTGCCCTCTTCTGGCCTGCAGGCAAACATGGAGGCAGAAATGTTATATACATAATAAATAAATAAATCTTTAAAAAAATAAATAAAAAAAAATAAAGGGCTTTGGCGGGCAGTCTGACAGTAAAGTTCCAACAGCTTGAGATGTCAAGGGAAAACTGTGGAAGTCCAGGTTTCATCGTATTTCATTGGTCCTATGAAGGCCCTGGACTCCTAGTAGACAGAAACCCCAACAACTCCAGTCTTCTGCTTTCCCAGGCTCAGCACTTCCCCCAGTCCAGGGGAAAAAGCAGAAGTCCTGGACCAGTGCCTCAGGACCTACCTCCCAAGATGAGACGACGCCACTCCCAGTCTATGCAAGGAATCTTGTCACCATCAAGGAACACTCATGACCTTCTCAAGGCTCGTTGCTGCCATTTTGGTCATGCCCCTGCCTCAGTCCACCTCCTGAGCCCCTCTAGGGTTCTATTAATGCAGGACAGGGAGGAGGGCACCTGTTGCCTCTGACACAGACTTTTTCTTTAGGGTCTTGAGATCCTTTCTTCCCTCTCTAGTCTCTATGGAGTTTTTCCTATAACCTTTAAAGTTCAGTTCTGACCAAGGCTGGCAGTGTTCCTGGCATCAACAGACACCTGATAGGAAGTAGTTTCCAGAAAGCAACTTGGATGAAGCCCCAGAGGCCCTGATTTGTGGAAAAGGTGATTAGCCCAGCCAACATGGGGACTTTTGGTCCCTGTGTTTCTTCTCCAAGGTGGGAGCAAACTTGTTCTCAAAACCCTGCAGATCATGAGGATGATATGGATTCGTGTTCTCATAGGCTCTGCTATTTTCTGTTTAAATCCTAGGTGTGCTTTATGGCCTTCCAGGTTAGGGTCTTGGGTGGAACACCTGGGGCCTGGGCTGTTCTCTGAATTTTTCTGGAATGCAATTGCTCTTTTTCCCCCCTCGCATTTTAAAGCCCTAGGAGAGAGAAGCCACAGCAAAGGCCGTGTCTGGAAGTAATTTGGGTTGGGGGAGGAGTAGTCACGAGGCTCTCTCAGCCCTCTCTCTCTCTCTCTCTCTCTCTCTCTCTCTCTCTCTCTCTGCTCAGTTCAGGCAATGGAGCCTTGTCTACCCACTCGGGACTGTTTTGTATAATTGTCCCCAGAAATCTAACTTCTGGAAAAACAGCTGGCTAGCAAAGCATTCCAGATGCCAAACAGATAATCTGAAATGACTTTTGTTCATTAAGGAAGTATTTCAAGAGGGCCTGTTGTTTCCCAACAAGTGGGAGAGGGAATCAGGGCTGCTGTGATTGTGTCTGTGGCCAGAAGTTACACCAGTCTCCATGAACTGTTGCTGGTGTCTGTCCTTCACCTCCTGGAGCTCCAGATCCTTATTCTGCAGTTGGAATGGAGGTCAACTCTCATCTCCCTGTCTTCTCCAACAGAAAGCCACATTGACCCAATCCAGAAGAGGTCCGGATCTCCCCGCCCCCCTCCCACCCCACCAAAGAACTGCCAGATGGGATCTAACTTGCTGACACAGCCCACAGTGGCACCCACACCGCATCTGGACTTTTACATGAGAAATAAACTTAGATTTTGCTCCAGTTCTTGCTATTTAACCTCTGAGACTAACCAACAAAAGTTTCTACTAGCCAGGAAAGAAGCAGAAGAGTCAGGTGGGAAGTGCTGGAAACTCAGCAGAATTCCAAGGGAACTCCACGTTGTTGGGGAGTCTTCCCCTAGTCCTCCCTGCCTGTGTGCTTAGTTCACAGTTAGCTTCTTCTGCTCCTCCCAAAGCTGATCTTGGGAACTTATGGGTTCTATCCAATCTTCAACCACATAACTTTGCCAATTCACCACCCAAACCAATTAATCGTAAACACCTGGTAAACAGAGACTAAAAATGCAATTTATTTGATAAAGAGCTTGTCTAGAAGGCGTAAGACCTTGGGTTCTTCCTGAGTACTAGGCACAGTGATATACACCTGTAATCCTAGCGCAATCCAGAGGTGGAGGCAGGGGTCAGAAGTCCAAAATCATCCTTGACAACAGAGTGAGTTGGAGGCCAGTCTGTGCTGCACGAGACCTTATTTAATAAACACAAAAGTGAATAAACAAGCAAACAAACCAGTAAACAGTCTCTGGCCAGTTAATGGATATACTGTTCTGGAAATAGATGATGGCAGCAGGGAAACTTGACAACTGAGGGCCACTACAGAGACAGTTTCTCTGGAACAGGTTGACATAAGTAACTCTAGGAAAAATAGTGTTCATGGAATCACACAACTCTCATAAGCCTCTTGGTTTGTCTTTCCCAAAGCATCCCAAATCTCTTCTTGTGTGAAGGTCTCCTTTGAAAAGGACTGAAGGTCAGCTGGGGAGGGGGGAGGGGGAGGAGAATGAAGACTTATGTCCAAGATCACAGCTAGGGAAATACATTTCCATTAGCAACTCCAAACGTCATGACAGAGAAGAAAATTGGTCAGGAGCTAGCAGAACTGGAAACCAAAATAGAAACAACCCAGAGTAGAAGATGAGAATGAGCGGGGCAACAAGCCTGGCTTCCCTGACTCTTAACCTGCCTTTCCACACAAAAGTGCCACACCGAGAAAGACAGGACTGGGTTTACAGAGTGTCGCCGAGAAATAAACCAGGAGCTCTGAAAGCGAGTCTGTAGTCCCTCCATACAGTACATAAGATCATATGCCTTTGTAGATTATTCTGAGGTTATTAAAAGGAACAGCACCCCTGTTAGGGGTCTGAGTGTTGAATTTGATCTCTAGATTGAACAAGATCTCTAGGGGCTCGCTTCAGTCTCAGCTTGTGTCACCGGGAAACCGACTAACTCTTACACAATCGAAAGGATTGCCTGCTTCGTTTTCTGCCTGTCTCATTTTACTAGGGAAGCAAACGGATTCCCCTCTACTCTACTTCGGGCTACAGGTGAGCTCCGGGAAGACGTGCGGGGATTATTAGGGCAACACTCCTGTCTTTGTTCATTCAGGGTCGGGACCGCACAACAGCGCCGCCCAGCTTCAGGATGTGAATCTACAGACTCCCCAACGCTCGCGCCGTTGTCGCTCCGCCCATCGCCCCGCCCAGAGTTCAGCCATAGCTCCGCCCATAGCTGGAGCTCCCGTTCTCCAGTAGCCCCGCCCGCCCATGGGGGGAGGAGCCTGTGGCGCGCGGGTGTGACGCCAACGCGTGTCTACGTCATCACGCGCCCAGCTGGGAGGAGGCGCGAGCCGAGAACGGAGCCTGTCGCCACTAGCGCGGCGGTGTGCTCACATGGCTCTGTGGCGCGGCTCTGCGTGCGCTGGCTTCCTGGCGCTGGCCGTGGGCTGCGTATTCCTGCTGGAGCCGGAGCTGCCGGGCTCGGCGCTGCGCTCTCTCTGGAGCTCGCTGCGGCTGGGGCCCGCGCCCGCGCCCCAGGGATCTCTGTCCCCCGAGGGCCGGCTGGCGGCCGCCTGGGATGCCCT